GACATTCCACTGTTAGAAATAATATTAATGACCTTGTCGTGCTTCCATTTTATCCTTCTGTTAGCTATAAAATTGCACAGATTCTCCAGAAATTCAATTTTCAAGTCGGTTTCTCCCCTATTAATAAAATTCACCCTTCGATTCTAAAAGATTGCGTTTCTGTCTTGAATTTCTTGGGGAATTTATACGTGTCAGTGTGGTTTAAGACATATCGGCCAAACGAAAAGAGCGTTGAAGTTTCGTATCAAGGAACATGAATCTTATGTCAGAAGAGGCGAAATTAACAAGTCTTCAATAGCGTATCATAGTTGGACTTTTAACCATAATTTTGATTTTGGATCTGCAAAAATTATCCAAAAGGCTTCTTCCATAGGTGAATTGGATTTTCTTGAGGCTTTTCACATTCACAAAGATTTAGCAGGTTTAGTTAATGATTTGAAGTCCAATCCAGTTCTTCCTAATGCCTTTAAAATTCTACTATCTTAATTCAGTTATTTTGCCGATAGATGGCGTTACCTCCTCGCGTTTGGTACTACTAGAGGGTATAAAAATCCGTTCAGTGGTTGCTTTCCATTATTTGAAGTTCAGATTTTGAGCGTAAGGTGCATTTGCCCCCCGCTCCCTATTTTAATTTCGCTAATTTTTCATGCTCGATCAGATAGCCTGGCTCAGTAAAAGTAGGCGGCCAGTGCAACTCTGATTAAAAATCTAGTTATAACCACGTGCAGTACTGATAAGGACCACGTGTTTCTGTGACTCCTTCTCCTTTATTTTCTTCTTTCTAGGTATTTCTTTCTCCTGATGAGGAGGGACCTTTAGCTGCCTTCGAAATCGATTGAGTGTTTTCATTATACCTACGCTAAATACAAAGTTGTTTTTATGATTGATTTTGATTGTCACATTAGCGTGTTTCTCTTCTAGCCCTTTCCGGAAGTTTCTAGTGAAACAACGACATCTAACAATTAAGATTAGTAAGATGGAAAAACCGTCTGAATTGGATAAGGACCTCTGACAAGTCGTACAGTATTATCTTAAAATATAAGAGTACTGGGTCTGTCCATTCTAATGAATCATGTATAATGTATCTTATAATACTACGTTTGTATTCAGTGAGTGTGAATTCATCATACATGAGAATAATTCAACGTATGTTTATATGCAGATGTAATGTACTCAAAGTATAACGTAATGAACTCGAAGATGAACGTAATCAAGTATAATTCCCTATATATGTGAATATTTCAATGCATATTTATATGTAGATGCAATGTACTTAGAGTATAATGTGTATGCAATGTATCTCTCATGTATGCATATCTACTTATCTATACATATGTATTTAGTATTACCATGTACGTGTTACGTATATCTAATAGGTGACTAAGTATCCAAGTGTACTCTTCATAATTATGATACGCGTAAAGCGTATCAGTGCGCAATGTGCACCACTGTATCTACTTACCCAGGAATATGTATATATTTAATTTATTTCTGTAAGTATAATATGTATTTAATGAGGCGACCTCATAATACCTAGGTCACTTCATTATAAACATAACGTATGCGTATCTACTTATCCATATGTATTATTTATTTACCTCTGTATGTGTATTGTGTATCCAATGTAGGAGACTTATTTATACGTTAATTCATTATAAGCATCATGCGTACTTATTCATCTATGTATATTTTTGTTACATATATTTTCCCTATATATGTAATGTGTACCTCGTGTACATGATATACTCAATAAGCTGTATATAATATACTCAATATAGCTGTATATAATATATAATAATAATCAGCTGTATATAATATACACAGGCTGTATATAACATACTCAATACGGAATGCAAATTCAATGTGTATCCAATAACAATGTGTACCTATACCCAATGCGTATCTAAACGCGTATGTGTATTTAATAACGTATGTGTAATTACTCATCCATGTATATGTTTTAATCTATCTACCCCTGCATGTGTAATGCGTTTCCAATGTAGGTGACCTCATTTATTTAAGTCAAATCTTCAATTATTATTCAATGCATAGCCAATGTACGTGTACCTTATATCCATATATATGTATTTATTTATCTACCCCAGTATGTGTAACTAATAGATGACTATGCATATCCAACTCTTTCTAATAACTATATGTGTAACGTGTATCAATGCGCAACGTGTGTAATAACTTACTAACCTAGACTGTATACAATACACTCAATGCGCAATGCATATTCAATGTTTATCGAACGTATGCGTACGCACTTTATTCATGCAAATGTATACCCCTGTATGTATAATATAGGTGACCTTATTTATCCAAGTCAAAACATTATAACCTTCATTATATGTTTCTAAGTATGCGTGTTTACCCAATCATGTTTATGAATTAATTTAATTACCCCAATTAGTGTAACGTCTGGATGTACTAAATGCATAATGCGTCTCCAACATGCATTTAATATATGCATATTTTATTTATCCCTGTATCAGTGTTTCTTTACTTATCTATGCATGTGTAATGTTAGTGTAATCCAAGGTATAGGTGATTTTATATATCCAAGACAAATCATTATGATCATAACATTTTGCGACGAGTCCTGTATTCTCTACTATGTGCTAATGTATTCTGAACCGCATAATGTTATGTTTACCCTGTATTATATTAAGTAGCTACTGCATATATATGTAATGTATATAATCAGTGTTATATCATGCGTATCAGTGTTCATATTTCTATGCATATTTTAAACGTACTTCAAGGTATATTTTAAGCAAGTCATATATTGTCAAAGTATTATTCAATGTAACAATGTGCGTAACTATAATTTGTGCGGTAATTATAATTGTTATCAAGATCACCGTAGGAAATCTTGTAATATGTATCTTGAACGACGTACAAGACCCTGTATTTATAAATATAAACAATGCATACTAAATCGGCAAGGCGCCAGTGTGCCATCTTCTTGACATCTGGGGTTGTTCTAGTTAATGCTGGACGTGGTGCTGTACTGATTAATGAGTACGGTAGAGGCACAGTGCCCACGTCCCCCGTCATTTGTACTTGTGCTTTAATAACATTTTCGTTTGACACACAAACTGTGCATTAGTTCTTGTGCTGAAAACCTTTTTTTATTGTTTTTTTAACTTAATTCAGAAATAATTTTAGCAATTTTTTCGTAACTTTTGTATATACTGGCCAAATACGTGTCACTTATATATAGTAATTTTTTGGCTCATGTTCTGTTCTTTTTCTTTTACCAATAACACACACACACACAAAAAAAAAAAACTTTACTTTTTGTATAATATGTAATTCTGAAATACTCATTCCACTTTGAGAAAAAACATAGGTAGATAACTTTTTCCAAAGCAGAGTTAAAATATCCGTTGACTAGAGGATAACTATATTTGATACTTTTGTGCTTATCCTAAGCAGATGCAATCGGAATTTCGTTATTTTACTCAAAATTTACTTCAATCTAAAGTTGCATTTTTTTCCCCAATTTTAAATTTGTGTGCTTTTTATCCAGTTGCATGACCTGATATTCGGAACTAGCAGCAAGGTGTTACGAAAACAATAACTTAGGTTTATATTATTAAACGCAATTTCGCTCACAAAAAAATGCAACATGCACAATATACTAAATCGAATTAAAATTTGCAAGCTGTATGTCTTTGTGAGTGACATGAAAGGTTGCAACTGCTAGAAGTATCAAATTCCTCACTTTAGTCATTCGGGGTAATCAAGATTGTAAAGAAATGGCGGAGATCGTATTACACGACTTGTGTTTTCCGTATTTTATTTAAGAAGAGGTAGTCAAAAGAATTGCTTAAATGGTACCAGTATTGAATTTAGATGCATAATTTCGGGCAAAGAATGTAGAACAAATAACGTACACAGCCCATGCTCATCACAGTTACATCGAGGCATGACTACTAACTGACCCACACTCTCAATCATTCAGCTAAATCCTGACTTAAATCCCGTCCAAACCTTCAGAGAAGGAACTTGACAACGCGGTAAAGAAACACGATATAGTGATTCTGAAGCATTTGCAAAGGCTTCTTCTAGAAGAATGGGACTTTTTTTTTTTTATAAAACGACTAAAAAATTACCAAATAGAATTAAGCCTGTTATTAGAAACGGAGTATTGACTACATTTTATTCTGATATTTTCATCACTGTGCTTTCACTTTTGTTCTTCATTTTGATGGGTTGAAATGTTCTTATTTTTGTAAGTTTATTAATTTGAATTTAACATTTTGTAGTTATTATAATACTCTAAGGGATTACATAAATAATATACAAGTTTTGATAAAAATAATGGTTTTCATAAAATAGTTCCACACTTTTTGAGAAAATGCATAGTGTGCCTCTATTTATGTCCCTCACTATATATATATATATAGAGAGAGAGAGAGAGAGCAAGCCTGGATCTGGGTTTTCTGGCGCCCGTGCAAAATTTGCGGTGCCTATATTCAGCCGTCCTGTGTCCCTCTAAATTCTGAAACATTTGCCGTTCCTAAAATGCTGCCGCCCGATGCTTCTGTCCCTATAAGTGGGAAGAAACGGAAAATAGAGTAATGAAGCTTATTAACTATTGCCCATTATATTCCACTTATCGTTAAACATGTTAAAGAAGACCGTTAAAATGTTTTTTAATGCTTTATGTCACATCGAATAGGCTTAATAATGTCCAAAAAAGCGGACAAATATTTCTAGAGTTTCCTTTTTACCTATTTTCTTATTCTTTGTTCAAAATGTATGGTATCTGATCTGTAAACTATAGTTTTGCCATTTCAAATCTCAACAAAAGCTTCAAATAATATATTGACACCGTTTGATTTAAAGAAATTCAAATTTCAGTGCTTTAAAAAAGGCTCAAATCTTTTCCTTAAAAATCCGAATACTGACGACAGAACTGAACGAAATTAACAGAATATTTATAATAAAGAAAAATTAAATCTTTAACAAACATCGGTAATAGTTACCTGTAATACCATGGAGCTGCCTATCAAAACCAGGCTGATCAAGTAGTAATCATGAGTATCAGCTGTTGCCAAAACATGCTTCAGTTGAGATGCATTTGCTGTTAATAAGGCGATATCCATCATCCCTTGTGCTACCGTCTTTCGAGTAGCATATATATTGGCATCTAATGGACATTTATCATGACCTTCTCGCTAAAAATGAATATAATTGTTACTAGAGTCAGTGGTGAGCAAAATAATTATACTTAGTTACAGAATCACTTAGAAAAATCGAAACGGTATACCAATTTTTACAGCTTTACAAACGTCTGATGCACTTTTATGAAAAGATATTAAAAGGTATTTTTTCAGTTAATATAAAGCCCACCAGTGGCCGAGCGGTGGGCTTTATATTAGTCGCTGAATACTGATAAGTTACTAATAAGTTTGATCTGGGTTCGATTGTCATCGAAAGAGCTGACTGCATGCGTAATAATCATATAACCTAACTCAATCTAGCTAACAGTTAACGTAAGAGATCAGAAAATGGTTTTCGAATTTGCATAAAAAAGAAATGTGAATATTCCGTCCAGTGTTTATTTTATGTCATAATTGTGAAAATATAAAACTAATTATAAAGGAGGATACACGTATAAGGTAATTTTGCAAGGCGGCTTGGTTGCCTAAGAGGAAGCAGAGTGGAGCCAAAGCACACAACAAATCTCGACATTTGGCATCGGATTGACCAGTAACAAAAAATTGTAGCAATCTAATCGATAGAACCAAAGTTCGAATATTAAATAGATGATCTCCAGCGTCTCTCTTTCACATAGCCAGACACTGTACCTTTCACTATTAAATCTTTACGACTCACTTTAACGTACCAACTGTAATCCTAACCTCTAAATCGTCCACAGCGTTTTCGGTCGCTCTTTTCTCAGTTTAAGATGGTTAAACCTAAGTATAGATATGCTACTTCTATTTATTTTGAGAGTATATTTATCATATCGTTCTTTCTTTCGGTATTCATTCTCACGAATTATTTGGTATGATTTGATAGGTTATTTGAAGACATGGAAAAGCGCAAAGACTTTCCCCATATAAATTAATGATAAATTAATTTTTTTTCCATGCCATTTCGACTTCCGAAAAATCTCACGGAGGTAGGGAAAAATTCGTAAAGAGGGAAAAACCGCATTGAATGTGAGACTTCGTTCTACAAATGGAATAAAGAATATGAAGAAAAGCTTGCTATGAGAAAAACACGCGGAAATTAGAGTCTTCTGGGTAACTGAATTTTCTTTGTGGTTAACAGATTATTATTCATCTACCAATTAATCAGCCAGTATTATGTTACTCTGCAGTTTTCTTAAAGTAATAAATGGATCATCATTAATGCCTACAGAAAATGTTGGAAATCCTGGTAAAAATAAACTAATGATCAGCCAACATGGTTATGCTTCAGCGGAGTTATCGAACACTACCATTAAAGTAAGAATATGGCTCAGTTGCCACTTTTTCTATGCCACAAAAATGGTAGCAGAATGAGAAATTGTACCTTAATACTACTAGTTAATGGAGGAAGTTTTAAATAATTACACCTAAAGCTAGGAACAAACTATTTCCTTAAATAAAAAATCACGTAATCCCTTAATAAAATTATCCAAATAATATCAAAATTATTAGATATGAGACAAACGTTAATTTTTGTCGAATTCGAAGGTTCTCGAACTTTTTGAATTTTTCACACAAGAACAGTAAAACAATGCAGAAGGGGAAAAATGCTTTGTTTTCAAATTTTTAACTAAAGCAAAATATGGAATCTCTAACTATTGAAAAATTGAATACAGGTTTAAAAAATACTCCTTAATTTATTTAGAAGATACATATGAAATTTAATAATTAAAACGTTTGAATTTTAAGATTCATTTTTTTCAATATAATTTGACAAAATACATTTCAATAAAAGTTTTGATTTTTTACAGAAACGTTTTACCGCGAGTACATATAGACGGGGAGGGAACAGGTAAACCTAAACATGAAACATTAAATTCTCAACAGAATATAATAAGGTGGTCTCAGAGTTGTCATGAAGTCTTGGTGATCTTACATACATGAAACGGCAACAACCGTATTTCTTTTTTTTTTTTATTGGATACTTCAACTGGACGTCAATAAAATTAATTTTTCAACATGTAAATAAACTAATTATTTTTTCTGCCTCTCTTTTTGCTGGTTTGTTTTGAGTTAAAAATGTTTAACGGATTATTAGGTTAGAATTCGAAAGATTCCAGTTTTCGAAACTGAAATCTTTTTCGAAATTCCTGCGATTAGAAGGCCCTTATCTCTAAATATTATCATAGTAGACTTCAAGCATTAAAACAGCAAACATAACTTTAAGCCATAAGTACTACATAAGGTTATTAGATATTTTCCGTCGAACATCATCCAAACTAAGTTAATACGTCTGTGACGTATTAACTTAGTCTCTTTCACTATGTATTATACGTCTCTTTCACTATGAATGATGAGTCGCTACAGACAGGATAGCGACAGGGTATTTACGAAAGCAAAATGTAATATATTTTGAAGGGTTCAAAGCAAAAGTTAAGTAACTTAATTTCTTAAAAAAAACTAAGAGAATGTGAGGAAGTGCAAAGTAGCAAGTTTTAAAAGTTCTAAGTAAAATATTCTACATTCATAGACCTTGCCCACACCGCGCGTCTTGGCTTGAACCCAGGATGTTTTACCAGCATTTAATGGTTTTAACCACTCCGCCACAAGTGACCCACTCGCCTCTTACCAGGTGTATATTCCTAAATGTTTCATAAACATGTCACTAGTTTATCGCATCATAGGTAACTACTATTATACTGTACTACAACTATAATCAATGAGCCCAATGCTCAAACTCGATACTCATTATATAATGCTGTATTTTCTATATTATTTCTACACGATACACGTTTTCCCTACAAGATTTAAGACCTAAATTACAACTATATTCTAGGTTAGAATTTTTATATTTCTTATAATGAGTATAAAATTTCCTAAATACCGTATTGAGATTGGGGAGAGCGTACACAAATATTCCGTAATTTCTATAAAATTGATTTTTTAAATTCTAAAAATGCAAAAACATTAATATTTGCATCCTTTAAAACATTTCTGTAAATGGAAGTACATGCCTAGGACAAACGGTTGCGAAAATACAAAGGCCGGGTAAGGACTTTCGTGGATATGATGTACAGGGTTATCCAAATTAAACTTCCCCAACTCAAAGGCCTGTGCAGAGTGTTGTATGGGTCATAATGTGATGAAATTTTAAAAACAGGCACTTCAGATCATGCGCTCGAGATTTATTAAACAAAAAAAATTAGTACAAGAAGTTGCCGATAGGTGGCGCTGCAGACCAACAAGACCTTCTACAGATGTTCTATATGTGTGCCGTGGTTCTCCACAACTCTTTCCATTCGCAAAGCAGTGTGTTCCACAGCGGAACGCAGTAAGTCCACATTAATTCCACGAACATGTCGAATAATTGCGTCTTTTTTTTAGTCTTTCAAGGTTGCTGGGTATTCTCGGTAGACCCGATCCTTTAAGAATCCACATAACCAAAAGTCGCATGGCGTGAGATCAGGCGAGCGGGGAGGCCAAGCTGTAGGGAAACAATGGCTGATCACGACGTGCATCGGTAAAAGTTGCCACGTTATTGCAGTTCAGGGATAACAAACACTGTCAACAAGTCCTGATACCGTTTTCTTGTGACAGAGCAGGTTTTGAACCCTGTTGGAGTCACCTCTTCAAAAAAATAAGGGCCAATGACGAATGTTGCAGTGAAACCGCACCACACAGTAACCTTTGGAGGGTTCAAGAGCACTTGATGGATTGCGCGCGGGTTTTCACTTGCCCAAATGCGGCAGTTGACCATTCAGGTGAAAATGGGCCTTATCCGTTCAAAGGATGTTCCACGGCCAAGCAGCATCGACTTCGATTCTGCCAAGGAACTGCAAAGCAAATGTTTCCCGAACTACAGGATCCCTGTCGGACAGCCGATGGCGACTATGGATTTTGTAAGGAAAATAACCGAGGATTCGAAGCATCACACGCCAGACGGTCGTATAGGCATATCAACAGCACGAGAAGCAGTTGGCACACTGACAACACCATGTGGCGATTGGCTAGTGGGGTCCACAACCGCCAAAGCAATGTCTTCTATGCGTGCAGATTCCACAACCTGTCGTCCTCTACCTGGTAAAATTCCCAGCTGTCCCGTTCTTTCGAACTTCTTCATCATGTCTCGTAAAGCGCGTGGTGTCATTGGTCCTCGGCGTAAGATCTTCAGCCGACGGAATGCTCTTATCGCAGCACAGGAGTTCTTGTCATTCTGGTAGAAAAGTTTCACTAGCAGAGCTTTGTCTTTCAAAGTCGCCATTGTGCATCAGCGAGCTGGAACAATTGCTGGTGTAAGGCCTGTCTTCCACTTTTTTAGGGCTCGTCTTTTGGATACATTGCGCAGAAGCTTTATTTCTGCAAATCACGTTGCTTCAATATGCACATTACTAGTGTTACAGCGCCACCTATCGGCAACTTCTTGTAATAATTTTTTTGTGTAATAAATCTCGAGCGCATGATCTGAAGTGTCTGTTTTTAAAATTTCATCACATTATGACCCATACAACACTCTGCACAGGCCTCTGAGTTGGGGAAGTTTAATTTGGATAACCCTGTATATACATATGAGGGAGTCTTGTATGCAATCCTTTTTATAATTTTAGGAAACATTCAAAATCGCAGGCTCATGATTCAAAACATAAAGCAAAATAAATGCATTAAATTCAGAATATGAAGCAAAATAATACAATCACAAGCAGATAAAAGAAGACACTTGGCATTTCCGATTTTAACGCAAGTTTTATTTAAGACACAAAGGATGTTCCGGGTGGTTGGGCGGTTATAAAGAGTTAAAATGAAATGGGACATTTTGCTGAATAGAAAAAAAAAATGCAGAGATGCAACTAATAAAACTATTAAGATCTTTCATAGAATTTGTCTAAACAAAAAATGAAATTAGCATTTTAATGTTAATGCATACATCTCTCACTTTATGCATCATTCATTTAAGCTTTTTTTTTTTTTTAAATCTCCATATACGTAATTTTAAAACTATTCCGAGACAAATCCTTTCTGTGGCCCAACAGAAACCTGTTTTT